ATATATATATATATATATTAGTATTTATAGAGTTTTAGCTTTTAGTTTTAATTACTTTTTCTTATTTGTAAGTCGCTTTGGATAAAAGCGTCTGCTAAATGACTAAAAGTAAAAAGTAAAGTAAAAAAAAAACAAATTTTTTTTTTATATTAAATACAAAATGTAAATTATTTAAAATATCAATAAAATAAAAATTCAAATAAACAATTTTAAGTAAAATAATTTAAATAAATGTAATGTAAAAGCATTTATAACAAAAATGTAAGAGAAAAACTTCCTGACCAGCGCACCTTCACCAACAGGTACAGAAACTGTCAGTTGGCAGTATCCCTCGATCCATGCTCATTATCCTGGAGGACGATCTTGTGGACCGCTGCAAATCAGGTAAATGCTGAGTACTGGTGAAAATAAAAACCAGTCTGTAGTTTATCCATATTTACTGGCTTTAATAGTTTGACAGTGCATGACTGAAATCTGTATCACACAATTATTCTGCTCACCGTTAATACTGCATTGTACAAGACTGGCTTTAAGACAGTTTCTCAGACAAAACTTTCTGTTTTCAGTTATGTGCTTCAGTGAAATCACAATAAAATTGTAAATAATAAAATTTGTAGAATTTATTTATATTAAAATCTATTTTAATTATATTTTTAAAAAACGTGCACTTTTTAATCACTGTGTGTGTGTGTGTTTTACTGATATAATAGTAACATTCCTCAGGGCAACTTCATGTGTCTTTTTCCATTGTATGATGCTGTCATGTGGTTCTCGCAGGCGATGACATCACAGTGTATGGAGTGGTGTGTCAGCGCTGGAAGCCGATGTTTCTGGATTGCCGCTGTGATGTGGAGATTGTGCTGAAAGCAAACTATATCGAGGTCAATAATGAGCAATCCACCACAACACTGGTGCTAGAAGACATTCAGAAGGAGTTTGAAGATTTCTGGGACAGTCACAAACATGACCCCATTGCTGGTTGGTGTCTTTTAAAATATTGAATCTGGGAATCCCAGTCTAGTAGTACAAATAAACAATATGGCATTTTAATACCATGTCTTCTCGGCATTTAAAAGATTTCTCTCTTTCTTATTGCTGTCCAAACTCAATTCTGGTCCCTGTAGAGGAAGTTCAGTTGATTAGGAGCATGACACATTGTTGTAATCTGTTGACAGTGGTGTTTTCTGAGGCACATTATCACTATTAGGCAACTGTTGCTCATAGGGTTATTGGGTTAGGGGTTTGAACAAATCCCTAACTGCAAGTATTAAACTTTGGCATTGAACTAATCCTGTATCGTTTGTGCTGAGAACATGAATAATACCTCAAATCATGTGGCTTTTTGAGCAAAAGTGTTTTATTACTTTTCTAAATAGTCAAATGTATGATTTTCACATGGTGGATTTTAGAAAAAAGTGGAAAAAACACAGGGAACTACCTAGAACATTTTAGCAAATTCCCAAAACACTCAAAACACCGTGGCAACATCCCAGTACACCATAGTAACCTCCTAGAACACCCTAGCAACCAATCATAATGTAAAACAACTCATGGGATTCAGTGTGGGTTATGAATCATAAAATCTGTCTTTCTTATTCTTTCTCTCTCTTGACATTCTGAAGGCAGGAATGAGATCTTGATGAGTCTTTGCCCTCAGGTGTTCGGCATGTACATCGTCAAGCTGGCTGTTGCTATGGTTTTGGCAGGTGGGGTACAGAGAATAGATGCGTCTGGAACCAAGGTGAGAGGTATGCGTTCACATTCCACATAATGGGCAGTCTGACATTTAGACTTTCATGAAACAAAGTTCAGAGGTGTGCTTGAAAAGTGTATTGCTCTTGTGAATAGATGTGAATAGCTCTGACTCAAAGTATGCGCTCTATTTAGGAGAGTCTCATCTGTTGCTCGTGGGCGATCCAGGCACGGGGAAGTCACAGTTTCTGAAGTACGCGGCTAAGATTACACCACGCTCTGTGCTCACCGCAGGAATCGGATCTACTAATGCAGGTTCCACACATTCTTGTGAACCTCACATCACCATCTCATTAACATTTACAAGAAGCACAATGTTCTTAATAGCATAATAGTATACTTTGCTTAAGGGATAGCTCACCAAAAATAAAAATGCTGTCGTCATTTGCTCACCCCCATGCTGTTCCAAACCTGAGTTTCTTTCTTCTGTTGAAGACAATCTTTAGATATTTTGAAGAATGTTGGTAGCCAAACAGTTGACTTCCATGGTATTTTTTTCCCTACTATGGAAGTCAATGGCTACCAGCAAATGTTTGTTACCAACATTCTTCAAAATATCTTCTTTTGTCTTCAACAGAAGAAAGAAACTCATATGGGTTTGGAACAACTTTGTTATTTTGATGTTATTTTGAACTATCTATTCATCAAAGACGCATGAAATAAATTATCGTGGTTTCCACAAAAACAATGATGATAGTACAAAAACCTGCATATTAGAATGATTTTGAAGGATTATGTGACACTGAAGACTGTAGAAATGGCTGCAGAAAATTCAACTTTGCATCACAGGAATAAATTACATTTTAAAGTATATTAAAGTAGATATAGTTGTTTTAAATTGCAATAATATTTCACATATTTTAGTGTATTTTTGATTAAATAAATGCAGCCTTGATGGGCATAAAACATAAAAATTCAGAAATATTAAAAAAATTGTTCCAACCCAAAACTTGGTGGTAGTGTATTTATATAAATTATATTATACTATAAACAGTATAATTCTTCCTACTCAAAACCATTAAAATTTTTGAAGAAATAGGAGCTAAATAGAGCCAGAACAAAACTTTGTGTAGTACTGAGGTGGTGTGCAGTGTCTGATGGGTACATTTTTTTGTCCACGTCCTATGAAGTTAAATATTGTTGTACACTTGATCCCTGTGCAGTTTGCAGTGCTCTTCAGATTGCTGCATATACATACTATTTTTGACACATACTATGCACTATTCAGTTCTACTGTGCAGTAAGCATTTAGTGCTGTTGCATCATTGTTTGCATGATTGTGGTGCTGGTCAGGTCTGACAGTGGCGGCTGTCAAGGACTCTGGTGAGTGGCACTTGGAGGCTGGAGCCCTCGTTCTCTCTGATGGAGGCCTGTGCTGCATCGATGAATTCAACAGCATCAAAGAGCATGACCGCACTAGCATCCATGAGGCCATGGAGCAACAAACCATCAGCGTGGCCAAAGCTGGGTGAGTGCTGGGGGAAATAATGTCACACACCTGAGTCACAAACGACTAGAGGGGGAATACAAAATTTCACGGAAAATAATTTGTGCATTTTTTTTTTTTTTTATTAACCAAAAGCTTGTGTGCATCACATTAAATGTCCCAAGTTCCTCTTTTGTAGAATGGTGTGCAAACTGGACACAAGGACCACCATCCTGGCAGCTACTAACCCAAAGGGGCAGTATGACCCTAATGTGTCAGTTTCTGTGAATGTGGCCCTCGCCAGCCCCCTGCTGAGCCGCTTTGACCTCGTACTGGTTCTGCTGGATACTAAAAACCCAGAATGGGACAAAATAATCTCCTCCTTCATCCTACAGAATAAAGGTTTGTCCCAGAGAAGAATCTTTTGTTTTGTAATATCAGGGGTTTTCAAAGTAGGTTCATATTATATTATATTATATTGTATTGTATTGTATTGTATTATATTGTGTTATATTATATTATATTATATTGTGTTATATTATGAAGGGCAAAAGAGGAAATAAATATATGAAATCTGAATATATATTTGTAAATCTAATAATTCTAAATATATAAACATAAATCCAAATATGTGATTATAACTATATATTTGGATTTACATAGCATTTATAAAAATTGATTTATGTAATTCTATAAAATATTTTTAAATTATTACAATTATTAAAAATAAATTATTTGTATTAAAATCCTTGTATATTATATATATATAGTATTTCTATATTATTTTACATAATATAATATTCTTTGTAGAAAGTCAAATATTTTCCAGATAATATTTGACACATTTATGATATATAATTTTTTGTACTAGAAGTGGGTCTTATACCTACCTTTGCATTTCTAGGCCATCCCTACAACATTTCTGGGGTTTTTTTTGTTTTGCTTTTTTGTTTTTGTTTTTTATCTTCCTTTGAATCATGTCCTAATTCCATGAATATATTTTTGACAAATTTAATCTTGGTAGCTGGCTCATATAGTACATGTTTTTGCTGTACATGGCATATGAAAAATCCTTCTGATGTCTGCTGAAAAAGTCATCTGATGTGTTATTGAATCAGATTGATGATCAGAATCTCTTTGATACTGACTAGAAGTTAATGGTGAAGCCTTGCCATTTATTGCGTATTTATAAAATATTCATCTTAACGTCTCTCCCTTTCTCTCAACTCTCTTCCCTTGTGTTTTTCCCTCAGGAGCGCCGAGTGAGTCTTCATGTTTATGGAGTATGGAGAAGATGAGGGCCTATTTCTGCCTGCTCAAGACTCTTAAGCCTTGTATGACACAGGAAGCAAACACCATCCTGAGCCGCTACTATCAGCTGCAGAGACAGAGTGACAGCCGTAACGCCGCCCGGACGACCATCCGCATGCTGGAGAGTCTCAGCCGTCTCTCTGAGGGTCAGATGCTCACATGCAGCATAATATCTGATCTCCCTCCCTCTACTTTTCCACAGAATTTCAGTTGTTATTTGCTAAAAGCCATCTGTAAAAATTGGTGCCCATCTGACCGTCTCTCTGTGTGTTTCAGCTCATGCCAGGTTGATGTTCAGAGAGATGGTGACAGTAGAGGACGCAGTTGTTGTGGTGTCCGTTATGGAGTGCTCCATGCAGGTTTGTTTATTACTACTCCATCAACTGGAAGCTATTTTAAATAGTTGAGAACTGGATAAGCATGTTTTTATGTTTACCTCAGGGAGGCGCCCTACTTATTCAAGAAAATACAATTTTCTTATCAAAGTGATAAAATGTTGTGTTGCAAAAATGAATACACCCTCCTGAAAGTTATTAAATAAAACTGCTCCATGCAGGTTTGTTTATTACTACTCCATCAACTGGAAGCTATTTTAAATAGTTGAGAACTGGATAAGCATGTTTTTATGTTTACCTCAGGGAGGCGCCCTACTTGGAAATGTGAATGCTCTGCACACCTCTTTTCCTGATGACCCCTATGAACAGTATAAAACACAGTGTGAGATTGTGCTTGAGAGGCTGGAATTGACTGATATCCTACGCAAAGAACTGCAAAGACTTTCAAGGTAAAACTGACTGCAAATATGATTAAAAGATGAATATAAGACAAAACTACAGAATGTCACTTTTTTTTATTATTGCGTGATTCAGCACCGATGTTTTACCAACTAAGAAGATCAGCACTTTTAGAGTTTCATCCCCTATGTGATGTGAGCATAAGTATTGGGACAGTTGACTCTCAGGTCTTTCTAAGTGATCAGCTGTGTCCTGTTGCATGAATTGTTCAGATATTAAAAGCAGGGAATGTGGTGTATCAGTTATAGCCATTGCTTCTGCATTCTGAGTCTTGCATTTGATGATGTCACACACAAACCAGGATGAAGACGAGGGAGCTGACTTTGAGAGACAAGCAAGCAATTTGGATGCTAAAATAAAAGAGGAACTCAATTATATATCAACTATATCAAAAACAATGGGCACGGAGAAATCAACAGTTTGGAATGTCCTGAAAAAGAAAGAAACCACCAGCGACTACAGCAACCAACAACGACCTGGTCGGCTGAGAGAAACAACTAGGGCTGGGTATCGAGTTCGATACTTTTTAGGCACCGACCGAATTGCCTCGATACCATCGAGTATCGAAAAACGTCTCGTCGTTCGGTACCTAATTTCGATACCTAAGGGGTTAATCTCATCAACGTCAGTAAGGCGCAGATCGATCAGTGTTTGACATCCGCGAGAGCGATTCGAAAGCGCACGGAGCAGTCTGCTCTCTTTAGCTCTCGTGGTACTGTAATACACTGATCGGTCTGCACAGTTGGTCCGCGTCACCGGTTACAGTCAGAGATGTGGCGCACACGCCCCCTTAGATGTAAGGCTACATTTACACTCGTGCGTTTATGTTTTAAAATGAAAACGATCCTCACCGTACTGGCGTTTCCACGGCGTTTCAAGCCGGCTTTCCACTATCTCTGACAAACGACAGACCGAAGGTCATTCATTTCCAATGGAGAGTGCGGGAGCTGCGTGGAGTTCCGATCATATGCAGATGTCCGTTCATACTAACGTTACACGACCGAAAGCGCGTGTTATGTGACCATTCATGCACACTGTAGCATCATGCTACATAAGAC